TCTTTCTTTTCTTTTTATTAACCTGGCAGTGGTTAATTGTGTGCCCTGATTTTTATTTTAGGGGTGAGATTTCCCAAATGATCTTTCCCCTGATTTCTTTATCAACATTTGGGTGGTGGCAGCGGAAGTTTTATTCCCAAGATCTAGGTTTTTAAGATTTTGGGGGAAGTTTTATACCAAAGCCTAGTAGATAAGGCTTTGGGGTATACTTGCTGGCCCCCACTTCTGCATTTATCATGCCAGAGTGGGGAAGGAGCCATGACACACGTGGCCATCGCAGTAACTTTAGCCATTTTGATCTCTGAATGGGAGGTTCAGAGTTTGCAAACCCCTGGCTCTATCTGCAAGCACTTGGGTCTGTTCGCTCAGTGTCTCTAAGGACAGCAGAGTGATGGGGCCGTCATTCTTTGTGTGTGAATTGAGGGAGGGGAAGGTTGGCTTCAGAGGCCAGATTCAATGGTCTCAGATACTTGAACCACTTTCCCCTCATCCATCCCTTCTAGGTACCTTTGAACTCCCTCAGAGTCTCCAACAGTGCAATCGTTTTCTGGGAGAAACCTCTGACTTGTTCTTCTAGTTCAGGGGAAATCTCTGGCAGCTGGAACTGCCCCGTCTCACACCTGGACAGAAACAATTCCATGTGATTGTATTTAGTTTACTGCTAATAAGTTCTGGCTAGTGAGTCTCAGCTCTAACAGGCCTGGAGTTAGAATCCTCCAATTCTCCCAGCCTGAGAGCAGAGACAACACATTGCATGGCCGTGAAACCTTCCCCTGAAAGGTCCCATTGCTGTTCTTCACTTCTGTCCTGGGGAGACTGGCTGGGGGAGTAAAGGGGAATTGAGTCTTCATGGCCAACTTACTCCTTGGCCCAGGCGACGAGGGACAGGAGGTTCCCAGGTGAAGGGCTGAAGGAATCTGTCCACTAGGGACTAGACCGAGACACCAGATGCCCCCTCCCCAGCTCCTTCCACACAGGTCTCCAAACAGCCCTCAGGTGGGACAGACTCTTGGTCCCTGCTGCTCTGAGCTGACAGTGTCCAGTGCCCAGCAGTGACAGGCCCATGTTCCACCCTACAGTCCTGAAGCAGCCAGTCCCCAGGGAGCTGAGAGCTCTAGGAAACACCTGAGGTCAGACTGTGCCCTGAACGGGGAATTCCAGAGTCTCAAGTGCAAGGATGAGACCCTCAGAATTACATGTATCAGAGATATTCATATCTAACATCTGGCTGTAGAACCCTGGGGAGATGTGGTGCTAACATCTGTTCCAAGTCCTTTTCCTGCACTCTGCAGTGTGAGGGGAGTGAGAGCCACGTACCTAATCAAGGTGCTTCTGATGTCCTAGAAAAAAAGCCACAGAAAAGAAACTCAGCCCCATTGGACACACACAGGGGACCTCAGAGAAGTGATTTTGCAAACATGGGAAGAGAGGCCCTGCCCTGGCCTCAGGAACATGGATCCCCTGAGTAAATGGGGCTTTGCCATCTCTAATAGCTCTGTGCCTGTAACTCTACAAAGCACAAGAGTCACTCGCATGGCAGCAATGCACAAGATGTTACACTAAGATCTGACAGCTGGACCCTAGCTCCTGTGATTCAGGAGCCTCCCTTCTCTGTGGGGGGAGCTGGGAAGTTTCTCCCTCAGTCTCACCTGCAGGAATTCACTTGTTGGCTTCTGACACGTCTCCTCCAGCTCACCGATCCCCTCACTGAGGCAGGAAATCTGCACAGAGAGTTTCCTGATAGTGTCAGTCTGGAACCTCCCAATCTCCCCATCTAACTTCTCCAGCTGGGCCAGCAGGAGTCGCTCTTGTTCCTCCAGGAACTGCTGCAGCTGCTGAAACTCAGCCACAATCATCTGCCTCTTGGCTTGGGTCCATTTCTGTGTGAAAACAGGAAAAGGGCTGGTGAGGGACATGGACAGACCCCAGGGCTCTTTCATGGGGAACAGTGCGCAGCAGCAAGAATTTCTTGGAAAAACCTAAAATGTGTGACATTTGACTCTACTTTGTGGTTACTCGGCAGAGGCGACTCTCCCAGCATCTCCTTTGACCCATGTCCCTCAGTCATGGGCAACATCTTCTGTCATTCATGGGCTCTGGGAATTCAGACCCAGAGCAGCAGGAGGCAGGACTCAGCACCAGCCTGACAGAGATACCCAAAGAGGAAAAAGAAGTAAACATGTTAATGCACCAAGTGAGCAGACAGCCCTTCAGGGGACATTCAGCTCACTTGGGAAAGCCACAAAGTCTGGATATGAACTCATGCTGACATGGATGCTCAGGGCCTGTCTACACATGGATCTCACCCAGGAATCCATGATCTAGGAGAAACACAAACGAGTCCAACCTCACCAAGGCCACACAGGAGTCTGCCTCCTAACACAGCCCTCCCACTCCCAGTCCCTGCTGGTCCATAGCCACAAGCACCTACCAGATACTCCTGGCTTTTCCCTTCTGCTGTTGTTTTCCTTCTCAGCAGCTTTTCTCTCTCCTTCTTCAGAGTCTTCAAATGAGTCTCCAATTTTTCCTGAAGAAACAGAGATAAGCACAGGGGCAAACCACATTAGATGTTGGGAGCTGTTACCCACCAGCTCTGTGATTCTTGGGGAACCAGAACATGGTCGCCTGTCAGCCTTGTGCTCTTGGGGAGTCAGGGAGTGACATTCATGGAAAACCATCCCCCTCCCTCAGGCCTCTCCTAGAATCAAAGACAAAGCAAAGAAAAGGCCGGGGAAGACACACCTAGCTGCTTCAGACCATGCACCCCGGCACCCTGAGCCATCCCAGCAAGCTTGTCGCCAGTGTCGTCTGAGGCCAGGGAGGCCTCGACATGTGAGTGCCATCACTGTCCCCTTATGTGGGGAGAGGGGGGGAGGGGAGCCTAGGGACTGCGCGTGTGGTCCTTGCTGACCACAGATCATGCAGCAACCTGTGCATGTGCCACACAGGGGCCCTGGCCTGTTACCCACACGCATGTATGTATGAAGGCACATGACATGCTCCTGACCCCAGGGAGAGACACTGCCCAATGCCTCTCCAGAAGCTCCCTCTACGCAGAGGCAGGGCACATCTCCCCTCCCCCCCACCACACTCCCGCACAATATACAGCACAGGGGCATGGGTGCAGTCCTGGGCCAGCTGACACTCCCGGGGACAGCAGGACATGATGGTGCGGCAACCTGCCGTCCTCACCTTGCAGAGCAGGGCAGGGTTTCACCCATTGTGTCCCCAAGGATAACTGAGCAGGTCTCTTGTTTCTCCACAGCTGCGAGTGCAGGGCGCACCAGCTGCAAGTGCAGGGCGCACCACCCCGCCCAGGACAGACTCCCGCACCCGGGGCCAGCAGGATGACCCGGCACCTGGAGGAGTACCACCGGCAGCACCTGTCA